GACGGGAGCGCAGGGGCCGCCCCAGCCCCTTCGTGCCCCGCGGGCCCCGAAAGTGCCGTTATTAACCACAAATTTATGGGACGCCCCCAAAATCCCGTTACTAACCCCAAATCGAGGTGGCTTACGGATGGCTGTGCAAGGCTGGGCACACGTCCAGCTTCTTCAAGCTGGGCACACGCGGTTGTGTTATGGAAATTCAGTAATTTCCTCAGTGTTTGATTTTGAGGTTGCAAACCCAGATTATCCCAAAAGGAACCTCTGCCCAGGGATCAATGCTCCACAGCATCCAGAAGGAATCAGAGGTTTTATTATGATCATCATCATCATTATTATTATAATCACTTTAAATTCTTACAGGCAGGATTCTGCACACTCAAGTCTATGATGCAGAGAGTGATGCAGAGAAATGGCTCTAAACTGAGAGTACGTCCTGAGAGTGCGGGGCAAGGGTGACACGGGGAATACAAAGTGCATTTTAGGCTCTTCATGGCAGCAAAAGGTTACTGGATCCCTGAGAAAAACTGCTGGTGACCCACCCGAGAGCAGGCATCCCTTAGGCACTTTATATTACAAATACTCTATTTCCTGAACGTAATCAGGTACTGCGGATACGCCTGGATGTCGTTGAAGATGACAAACATATTTGGAAATTTCTCATTATCAACCACGCTGTCGTAGTGGTCGGTTGTGTCTGCCGTGTTTTTCGATGGAGCGGTGATGAGTCCTGCCCTCCCGGCACAGTACTGCCCCGTGAGCACCCGAGCCAGGTACATGTATTTTCTGCCACTCGAATCGGGCTGGGAATAATCATCCTGGGCAGAATAATTCGCCCTGACAGCAAAGTAGGTTCCATTTCCAATTATGGCAGCTGTTTGGAAAGACATTTCCAAATATAGTTAGCATTCATTTTTGCAGAAGCACCCGTAAAGCTCCCAACACTTCTTTTTTTATTATTATGATTACAAATTATAAAGTTGTTTCTTATTTTTTTCTCCACCTGCGTTGAGTCCTCGTGTTGTGCCACACAACTGACTCCTCGGATATCAGACGCGTGTGGAAGGAAGCAGTTACCTGCGCTGGGGAAGGACTCACCATTCTTTCCAGCAAAACCACGATCAAATCCCCTGTAATTGATGGTGCTCAGTGAGGATGCTGCTGTCCCATGAAAAAGCAACCTCTCATTCATCCAATTTTTGTTTTTCTTATCCAGAGCGTTCTTTTTGATTTGGTAGCTCTGCCAGAGGTAGGAATTTTGTATTCTTTCAATCTGCGAAGTTGCAAAGTAGAGTTGTGTTTATACAGGTAGGGATCATATTTATCATGACAGCAAAGCATTAAAACAAAACCAAGCCTAAAGAATGACAGTAGTTATCACGCTGTCCTACTAGCCTGTGCTTCATGTTGGAGAACTGAGTATGTGAGCTTCTGCAAAATGAGACACCCAAGTATGTCATTTACAAAAAATGTTTTGGAGCTTGACAGTTTTTTTTCATATATCTGCCTTGCCTAATACACCAGGTATATAGGTGAGTATACCAGCAATGCACGGGTATTTTTCAGAAATAGCAGTTGCACTACAGCTAGAAGCATGCATTCTGTACATCCTAATCATCCTCACTAATGATTTTGTCACTAATGCTGAGCTGTAGCATTATGTTTAATGCCTCTCTTCTAGATCTCAGCATGAAAGGCAGCATTACCCCATCCCTGTGTAGCTCAGCTGCCCATGAGAAACTGCTACATAAAAATAAATCTGTAGGACGATAGATGTTGCTGGTGCCTTACGCAAACAATCTGAATATAGCTTGAGGGAAATATAGCATATTTGCATCCAAATTTAATCTTAAAGGCATTGCTGTAAGAGTATTCTATTTTCAACAGAAAAAGGATTCTGAGCTTTCCATTTTCAATGGAAAAATATTCCATTACCTGATCTTTCCTCTTCAACACTCGTATTTTCTTCTATTCATGCCTCAGTGACCACACTCAGCGAGTCTCATCACTGGAGAAATTTTATTTCCAATACCCATTATTGCACTCTTGCACTAGATGATCTCTACAGGTCCCTTCCAACCTCAACTGTTCCGTGATGCTGTGATTTCTTGCCCCTCCTTGCTTCTAAATAATTCCACATTCCCCTGGGCCATTATCTTCCTGTGTGGGGTTTCACAGACTTTTCAGCAAACAGAGACAACTCCCAGCATTCTGGTTACAACCAGCACCAGGCCTGGCAGGCTCCGGGGCTCTTGGGGAAGAAGCCCACTCCGAGGGCACTGAAAGAGCAAAGAGCTTCATGGCCAGCCTGCAAGGTTAGGGCTGCAGGGAGCTGCCCCATCGAGATCTGGTTCAATGCAGAGCATCCCCGGTGGAAATGCTGAGTAATCAATGAGTAGAGCACAAGCTCAGCCTGAAGAAAAGCAGCCACTGGCTTTCCATGAGCAGCGAGGAGGCCGGCAGCTCCGGACAGTGCAGACATAGGGAACGCAGCTTGGTTTATTGACACACCATGCTGTGTCTATACACACACAGGACGTATATTAGCCTGCAGACCCTTTATAGTCCAGCATGTAGGAAATCTATTGATATTTTCTGCTAAGAAATCACTTTTTTTTTTTTTTCCATAGGACCTCACCTTCTCTATGGTGAGATTGGGACAGGTTTTCCGAAATTCCTTCTCAACGTTCTGATACTCTTGGCTCTCCGACGGGAGGTTCACCACCAAGACCGGCTTGTCCTTCATGTCCTCCCACTCTGCCGGCAGCTCTATCGCCTGCTTCTCTGTGAAACAAGGGTGGGAGGATGAGCACAACCAGCCCACTTGGTTTTACAGGCACATCTGCAAAACCGAGTTTTCCCAGGCAACTGGATGGAGAAGGCTGAGAGGACAACACCTTAGGCAATGATTTCTACCAACAAAATTCCCTCTCTTGAATATACTGTTAATTTTGTAATGCACTGCTAAGATGATTCATTTTTGCCATGAGTCTTATCCCAGTACTAGCAGTCAAATAAAATAGGTTTTAGAACCACTGAATTTTGCTTATTGTTTTCCTTCCTTCCTCAGACTTATGCATAAAACCTGTTCTCATGCGTTACGTAGGTATGGATGAATTTTATATTTAAAAATTCACAGTGCTGGGTTTGGTCTGCCACTAATAACTGAACTGAACATAACTGCCACTAATTCTGAAACTAAAGACTAATGGCCGTGGCATATCTGGCCAAAAAAAATCTTGTGGCATAGCTTTACTTTTTTGGAATATCTAAGTTGTATTTATCAGAATTATCATTCACTATCATTGATTTTTTTTTTATTAACAGGGCTGTAATTTACCTTCATTCTTTGGCACACGTTGAATGCTTATAGTTGTTCCTCGGTCATCATTAGCTTGTAGAGTGTTTATATTCACTTTGTAATTCTTATTCTTAATTTTGACAGTAAGATGTGCTTTTTTAGCTATTTTAGCATCTTCCAGCTGCATATTTGTCAGCTTATCAAAAGTTCTAAAACTATCATTGCTTTCTTGATACCTCCATTCCACTAGGTTATACACAAGTTCTGCCTTGGATTGTTCTTCTTGAGTATCCCTAAGTTTTTGGATCATATTTTGAACTTCCATAGAAACTGAATAGACATCCCGGCTAATACCAGAAATTTTAATGCGCGGAGGAGACCGGTTGCTTTCAAACTGAAAGGTTACATGTTTTCTTCTCTGAAGATCTACCAGAGTCTTCATCTGCCCCCTATCAAAATTTTCAATTAGCTCATCTGAAATAATGTTTTCACTCTGTTCCTTTAAAATCAAATCCATTATCCAGGACGCAGCAGCATCCACATTTTGTTGTCTTTCTCCACAAATTTGGAATGTGACTAACTCAACTTTCTTCTCCAAAACGAGCGGTTGTTTCTTCTCAGTGGACTTTTTTTGGCCAAATAATGCTGTAACAAAGTACATAGTAAAAAAAAAAAAAAAAGTTAGTTTTACTTAAGAAGTTTTAAAAAGATTTTAGTTTTATACGCCCAAGCAAGTGGAAAACCCTTCTACTTACATGTTAATTTAGATTCATCTGTATCAGAATCATGGGTATGTAATTCTTGTCTTTTCTTCATGCTTTCATAAAATTCACTGTTCATCTTTGTCTCAAAGATGACTATTCTAATTCTTCTCAAATGCAGTACAGCTTTTTGGCTTGCAAACTCAATTATAGCACCAAGCATGTTATCAGCTACCTTTGCTGGACTCTGTCTTGCCTGACCTAAACAAAAATACAAAACATACTAGTCAGTGAAGAACATTAAAATCGAGGCTAAATCAAGAGGGCAGAGAGCACATCGCAGTTGATACGGACCATTATCACTGCGCTGGTAGTGTCTGAACTGACCCCAGTGAATTTTCACAAATCACAGTTCATGCAGTTTTCTCCTACAAAACTGTTATCCCTACTGCAGCCTTTAATACCGTCCCAATTGCTGAAACCCTGGTTGCTCTCCCAGGAAAACACAAACCTGTTCCAATTGCTGGGAAGGCCACAGACGTGTACATTCGGAGCTCACACTCCCGAAGCACTTGGGTCACCTGATTCTTTACGTCCAGGCTATGAATCAGGTGGATGATTTTCTTGCACAGCAGATTTCCACTTTCTGTGGTAACAAAACCACTCTGAAGCTGCCCAGCTGGCCAAGAGAAGATAAAGGAGGAGACACAACGTTTTCAGAGTGGCCACCCATTCCGGTAATGCAGCTCTTTGTACTGATGCTGGCATACACAGGAGTAGCACAGAATGGAGGAGTGGGAAGGATGGAAAGAAAGCCACTGTGCACTCTACTATAGTTAGCTGGTTCATATTTTCCCTGAAATTCTTCTGATTTCAGAATTTCTTTGAGACAGTACCTCAAGTGACAGTGTACTTTCTGCTTGACTGTAATTTTCTGTGTTATGGTAAATGCATCTGGGATCTCTACTAAGAAGCAGTTTCCTATTAAGTACAACACATCAATTTATTTTCAGTTTAAACACCTTACCTTTTATAGCTCTCTTATTTAAAAGCATGCCAATGAAACATACACAATTCCTTTATATAAGAAATACTTTCTTGTGCTACCTATACCCTAAAGCCTCAAATTACGATTCTGCAGAATAGCTGAATGGCTAAAATAAGTTCACTAAGATAATGACCATCTCACTTAAAAACTGTGGTATGGAATCTCTAAAGACTTGCATTATTCAGAGCACTTTTGATTATAAGCCTCTAAAAATCGAGTCACTTTATGAGGATGGATGCATTTACGAATACAGGGTTATAAACCAGTTCACCAGTCACAGACATAATGGCTGAGAGATGCTTTGCATGTGCTGAGACAAGGCTGTAAAAAGGGTTAGACCCCAGAGCTAAATGTGAGAAAATATCCAAGAAACTCCATCCTAAATGTTAACTCCTGGGCTCTCTTCAAACTTGTGTTCCTAGGAGTCACTCACAGTGAGCAGTGATTTAACTACTGTATTAGTCTGGCCAAGTGAAGAGACTACAGGAAAAGTGATCAGGGTAATAAGAAGAATTACTTTCTTTCAAATAAAATAACAGAGCATCTGAGAATATAAAACCAGACTGCCTATTATTTCTGAAGAAACTGAAGAAGTCATGCATCTGCCTAGGCCAACAGAAAATATCCCATCACTTTTTCTCAGTTCTGGCATCAGTCTTAAAACTTCAGTTCCCCTGTAACTGATAACTGGTGAGCTTAAACATCATGCTAAAGTGAAGACTATTTCTGGTCTTAGTTTAGGCATGGGTAATCTCAGGAATCCTTACCTTAAACTACAATAATTTCCAAGCACTCATTAGCATTAGAAAATTGTACCAAATTTCTACTCAGTTGCAAGAATAAAAATTCTCCAACTGAGCGTCAGGACAACAGCATTTTTCACAATTCATGAAAGTAAAAGTTATTTTTTCTAATGTAATAATTACACTATCAGAGTGGAAAGTCATAGTAACAGCATCAAGTTCAATTTTCAGAAAAGCCTAACCAAACAAAATTGGATGTTGTAACTTACCATACTGAGCACATTCTTCTTCTACCTGGGAACCAGCAGCATCCATAACTGCTTTGAAAAGTCCTTGAAGAGAAAAAAAAGAAAAAAAACACACGTAAGTTGCCTTAAGATACCTCTAGTCAAAACTTTATCCAAATTCTATAGTCTATGAACACCCCAAATTTGCAACACCTTGCCAGCTCCCCTGCAAGCCCTCTGCAACAGCCTGTCTGTTACGGAGAGTGCTGCCTTCATTACTGATTAGGAATTGCAATGAGTAACTCCAATTTCATCGCTCCTCCAGCAAAGAGCATGGTCCCCACCAAACTCTTGGGTTGCTCTGAATTGTATCATTGCTGTCCTTCATTCTTACAATTCACACTGTCACCAAGGGATTTTCATTTTTTAAAACCAGATCTTCGGCTCAGGGAGGGGTGCAGTAGGACCAGCATTATATTTGATCTAAAAGTTATCTTTTAGTTAAGCTATAAAAAATCTGGACATAAGGCTTCTGTTTGAGTAGCTTGGTTAATAAAATTGAATATTCAAGGCATATATAAAACCCAAGACAGCTTCAGATCTATTTTCTGACAGATTACCACTCTCTTTCTCTCTCTCATATGAAAAATAGTTTGTAAAAAAGTTTCACGTACAATTTTCCTCTTCCCTTTCTAAAAGCTAGCATGAATTTACCATAACTACATATTCAATGAAATACCTGAGTTGGCCTTAAATGCTGAACTTGTTATGTTTACAATAACATCTGTGTCTTCCTTAGTAATATCTCCATTAATCAGTTGAAGTGTAATAGAACCAATCTTCATTTCATGAACTCCTGATGAGCTAGTCACAATTGGCCCAATGAAAACTGCAAGGAAAAAAAACGACAAAAAAAACACTTTAAAACAGTCCTATTTTAGTTTTGGCAGCTGTTCTATTACATTTATGGAAACTTTATATGATGGACAAATAGCTGTCAGATAAATTTAACTTATCTTTTTGAGGAATGTGAAACCAACTTGACAGCATCTAAAGAGCCTCTGCCTACTGCTTAACTTCATCGCTGAAAATAGGCAGGTATTCATCCTATTTAAATACTGTGAAAATGAAACTATTTCTATTCCTGCAAACTCATACACTATAAATTCAGACAAGAATGTTGTGCCTACCTGATTGGACCTGCTATATAACAGCCTTTCCTGAATTAACTATTGCATGAAGCAGATAATCCATCTTCAAGTTAAGTAATACCAGCAATAGATATCCCCCCCACACACACCCTTTGTAAGTTATTTCATCTTTACCCTCACAGATACAAATCTGTGCTCTACTAGTCTAAATTTCTCTAATTCATATTTTATGTTTTCATTCTTTTTCTCATTAATTCTGAGAGTAAAAGAGAAAGATTGAGCTATCTATTCACAGAAGTCCCTGCTGTTTATGCAGTTCACCATTGTTTTTCCTGCTGTGTCATGTTACAGTCAATGCAGAAATGAGATGGAAAGTAGCCTTCCTGTACAACTCTACATGGGGGATTAAAGGTACAGATGTACATATGATTTACTGATGACCTGGCAAAGTGACTCCAATTTCTCATATCCTTTGCCCATGACAAACTACAGCTCTCCCATGAGGATCCCCTCTTCTATACAGGACAGGATACTGAGCGTGCCCTCAATTACATAACTATCTCTTCAAGAACTTTTTAAGAATGTCAGTTCATTGGGAGGAAAAAACATATTCTGTATCCTGGTGATGTTTCGTCTGTCACTTGCATGTGCATAAAATTGCTTTAAAACATTTCCCTTCTGCCCCATGCCCCTGTCTCCCTCTAGAAAACTTACTGTGTTGTGGTGCTGCCTTAATGCGATTCTCAGCTACCCGACGTTCCAGTTCACTGGTAAATGCCTAGGGTGAGAAAAAAGGTGAGAGGCAACAAAACAGCAGTTGAGATAGCCTGCCCTCACTGAGCCAATGCAGTATGGAAGTGTTGAATTACTCCCTCAAGAAAGCAATATAATTAAAAATACATTGGTAAGGCGTAACTAGAGAACTTCTTGACCCAGAAGATTTGACCATGAGAAGAAATACCTGAATGTTACCAGTATCCCCGGGGTACAAGAGAAAGTGAACTTCCTGGAGTGTCTTCGGAGTGTGATGGCTACTGAACTCAAACACTGTGTCAAACATTAATTTAGCTACAGTGGACTTGGGAAATCCAAATCCTCCAGTTCCAATTGCTGGGAAAGTGATCAAATTCAGTGCAAGTTCTTCTGTTTTCTGCAGGCAAAATTTGACTACGTCTTTTAAGGTCTGTAAAACACAGCAAAGATCCCTTGTTTATTTGAAGATTATATAATCAATTATAAATTCCATAGAGACAACACTCGCATGAGAAAAGCCCTCAGAGGTACCACGCATCAAGACATCTTTAAGGTCACTCAAATAGAAGTAAATTGAGATAAATTAACTATTTTAAACTCTAAATTAACTATTTTTTAAATCTTAAACTTCAGAATGGGTTCCCCAATAGATTTGTTTTCAAAATCAAAAGTTTTTAAAACAATTACAAATCTACCTTCAGAGCCTCTCCTTTTCCTCCATCCCAGACGGGAATAACAGCATGAAGCACAGACTTGCAGAGGAGATTGTGTCCACTAGTATGGAACACTGTCCCTTTTCCAGCTATCCGTCTTTGCTTTTCCTGATTAAACTCTAACTGGAGTCCTGGTCCAGCCTTCTCCAGCAGGGCTTTGCAAAGAGGCCCCACGCCAAGCTGCAGATCCATGCCAATGCTGTTGACAATAACATCTGTCTGAAACAAAATTACAAGAAAATTATCTACAGCCAGATTTTGAGTAAAAATATGGACCGGCAAAGCACAATGCAGCAAGAATGACAAGGTGGCAACACAGAAATAACCTGATTTTCAGCATGGACTCTGCACACAGAGTATTCCAGGACTTGCTGGAAACCCATGGTAGGAGTCAGCGCACCCACCGCTATTCACAGTGCAGGTCACCCATGCACGAACAGTGGAGATGACTCTAACCCTACATATGGAGCTGTTTTAAAAACAAATGTCACAGTGGGCTTTTCTCCATCTAAAGATTTCTCTTCTACTGGAAATGGCATTTGCAAACACCAAAATGACAAGAAAAACAACTAATATGGAAACAGTACAGTAGTAACAACTTTAGGATGGAGCAAAGATGAGAAACAGGAATTTTAAACTCCCAAACTATAAATACCTGGTGTTGTTGAAAGAGGTAGTTATAAAGAAGTAGTTTGTACCACTGAAGTGAAGAAAAAATCATGACAAAGCTCCTAAACCAGAGGTGTAAACTGAGCCTTGATGGAGCAGGTGAACAGCAACAAAATCCATTAGCAAAAAAATCAAAGCAGAATCAGGTCTAAACTTTGGCCAAGCAAACTAGCCATGCCCTCTTCTGTGGAACTGTTTTTCTACAGCTCAGGAATTTCTATAACAGTGTAAATAACCTACTGAAAGAGAAGGGAAGTAAAAAATATGCTACCTTCTCTGTTAGCATGACTCATGGTCCCTGACAGGTTCTGATTTCCCTCTGTATCCAGCCTAGATAACCTAGATCATATGAACACATCTCTTAAGGGGAGAGAAAAAAAAAAGGCAGCCTAGATAACCTAGATCATATGAAACATCTCTTAAGGGGAGAAAAAAAAAAGAGGAAAAAAGTAAAAAAGGTAAAACACAATTACTCTATACTTGGGCATATAAAATACAGTAGGAACTAAACAGCTTGACTTAATTCATGGCTGTGCACTAGAAAGGACTCCAGAATGATGGGTCCCTGTATGAAATTTGAATATTGGCTGTGCAGTTTTGCTTCCTTGCTTAGCCAGCACAGCACCTTGGTTTCTCTGGGGTGCAGCGATCTTGTAAAAGAGTTTAATCTCCTGTGCTTCATTTTCTATTTGAATTTGAATAACATCAAGTTAGAAAGGACCTGCAAAGCTGAAGGCCTACCGTGGCATCCTGAATGCTTCCTTTCTCTAGCTTGATGCACAGTCCTTCATTTGTTGTAACCATCTGCAGATTGTCTTTTCTCTTGGCTTTCTGGCTTTCCTTCATGCTTTCGCTGCTAAAGGGTTGGGGAAGCAATGGCCAAATGGGTGATTTAGCAGCAAACACTTGTTTTACTGTCTCACTCAGAACTCGAACTGTTTTGTCTGCATCGCCCACAAGATGAACCTCCCTCAAGCTCCTGTCCCACCTGGATTCTTCCAAGGTTTTTTTGAGGGATGATACAATTGATTGTGCACACAGTTCCACTGGGATACCCAAAATCCCAGCACGTACAAAGGGGAGAGCTATGGAGAGATGATTGCACTTTTCAGCCAGCTGTACAGACTTCCTCACTATCTTCCTTACATGGTGCAAACATTTTTCTCTGTCTGTTTTCTTCCACTCGGGCCCACCAGCATGAATGACGTGCTTGCAGGGGAGCTTCCCGGCACCAGTGATGGCAATGCATCCAGGCTTCAGACGCCCATGGTTTTTCACAAGATGTTTGTACTCTCTTTGCAGGTCTGGACCAGCCTCCTGGAGAAGGGGCCCAGCAAGGTCATCCGGGAGTTTTGAGTCTTTATTCAACACATTTACCACAACATCCACTGGATAATTAGACATGACACCTTTACACACTAATACTGTAACTCCTCCTTCCAGGGTTTCCTCATAGCAGACCTCTCTTTCCCCTTTACTATCAACTTCTCCACCTTTTTGCCCTTGTTCTTCTACTTTCAGCAGAATTAAACAGTTGTATTTCTGCTTTGCCTCAAAAACATGCAAATCTTTCTTCTCTGTGAAAAATTCTTTGGCTCCTGGTTTATCAATTGGCACATTTTTATAGCAGAGCAAGGACAGAACTTGCTCTAATGTGGTGACTGCCTTTGCTACTTCTGCTTTTGGGCCGCTCAGAGAAATACATGGTACCTTGGTGTCAAAACACATCTTCACACCTTTCTTCTTGAATTCAAGGCAAACATTTGGTTTTTCCTTCTCTACAAACTGCACTACTGCCGCTGACTTAGCTGGGATTACTTTTTTCATGTGTGTGTTTCTATCTACTAAATAAAAAATGTTCTGATAAACTTCTGCTACGGCTTTAGAAAAGCCAGTAATGGTCACTCTATTTTCTTTTCCAATACATTCATCAATTATTACAGTTTTCTGGGAATAATTGTACTTCTTACAGGAGAAGTCAATAAGACTCCTCCATTCCTCCTTTTTAATGATTTCGGAGTCCTCCAGATCAATGCACTTGTAGTCCAAATCTGTCTCTATTTGCTTTTCTGCATCTGAAAGATCTTCCGGAGTGTATCCAAACAGCACTATAGCATCATCCTCAAGCTCATAAAAAGCTTTTATTTTTTTTGAAATAAATAATCGCTCTGACATTGTCTTATTATCTACACATTGTAGAAATTGGAAAACCTGTGGAGTGATGTTAACTGATTTATATGGCACGTTCTGTACCTTCTCCAGTAAGCGCATTTTGATTTTAGACACCTCCTCAGGTAACCCACACAACTGGATGGCTTTTTTTGTATCATCATAAAAGATCTTTATGCGTGGATATTCCTTGCAAATATCCTCTTCTAGTCCAGCATTGTGCAAAACTGCATACTTCCCTAGCATCACTGACACAGAAACTTCTATACTATTTTCTTGCCTTTTCCTTTCTTCCACGTCTTTTTCCATGCGTTCCATCAGTTCTCTCTCTGCTCTGTTCACGGCTGCTCTGTCGCCGGCAATCACCACCAGACCCATACAAACACATGCTATCATCAAAGAAGCATCGTTCACCCGTTCGGCATTCACATCGTTCCAAAACACCGAATCTACTTGGCACATGACGGACGTGTAGCGAGACAGGATGTGCGAGAGCTGCGCCGAGGCATCTTCCCTCCACGTTTTGATCACCTGCATCATTGGCTCTTGCTGTTCATAGAGGGATGATGAGGGAAACAACACAACCTCATCTGGGTGTGCACAGTCGGGCTCTGGCCATATAACATCACAGTGGCAAGCTGCCATTTCCTGGTTTATATCTTGGATCAGTTCGTCCTGCCTTTCTAAAAACTGCCAGACGTAGGGATCCAGTGGACAAGTAATGGGCTTCGGCATCTCGACACTTGGCTTTTTCTCTCCAGAGAGAGCTGTTCCCAGGCGATGATGATAGGGATAAATGGAAACCGGCATCTGTTCAAGTGAATGTTGCTTTTCCAAGACAGTGCTTAAATCTAAAATTTAAAACATATATATGTATACACACATATTTCATTAACTCCAAGTCAAGCGAATTAGTTTGTTCTTAGAACTATGATGGTGAATAGAATAACTTTGGCTCCTGGTTTATCAATTGGTACGTTTTTATAGCACAGCAAGGAGCGAATTTGCTCAAATGTGGTGACTGCCTTTGCCACTTTTACATCCAACAGAGCTATTTTTATGTCCTTGTGATTTCCCTTTTATTCTATAGGGGATGATTACCAGGTAGTCTGCTAAATGTGCTTGTAGCTGTACTTACCTGTAAAGATTTGCCTTGCTCTTGTTTCCTACAGAAACAATAGCTCAGTGCAGGACTACACTAAATTTTTAAGCAGGAAATCTTTCTTATTTTCCAAGTTAAAACAGAATTGAAGTCCCAGTGCATTCCCTTAAGTGTTTTCCACACTGTGTCAATAAGGTTGGACAAAAGAAAGTAGTTACACAGTTTTCAGGCATTTAAAAACACATTGCAATGAGCCAAATTATATATGCACTTAATGCACAAAATATTCTTAAGCAAATGCTGGGTATACTAGGAGAAAAGGAAACAGTCACCTGGCAGATACCTTTAACTAAAAGTAAAGGAAATTATGAAGCTGCCAACTGCACTTTGCTGTTATTGCTTCCAGGTCTTTGGAGCCTGTGTGTGGGAGCGAGGCAGCTTTGCCTTTGGGGCTGCAGAAGGTGGTGATGGCCGAGCGCTCCTCGGGTAGGAGCTGGACATCCACCACAGGCCCACCCCCACTGCTCACGTTCTCAAAGCAAGCAGCGATATGGTCTGTAGAAACACCACCTGGTACGATTTCAGCCTTGATGCTGTGGGTCTCTTCAAGAAGTTTAGCCGTAATTTTCAATTTCTTAAGTCGATTGCTTTCTGCACAGAGTTTGACAAATTCTTCAGCATCTGCAAACAGAAAAGCAGGGGTAACTGAGCATGTTTTACTGCATGGTTACCAGTCCCAGCTACAACTAATGACAGCATAGTCATGAGCTGAGTCTGTGCACCGGAGCAAAACTCTCTAATGCACAGAAGTTTTCCTGTGTTATATTATAAGGTGGAACATAGAAGTAGCCACATTACTCTGTACTATTCACTAGCTCTATGAGTCTGTGCAATCCCTTGCCATGCAACTCATGTATAAACAAATCTTGCCATTTTACTGTCTCATCAAATGGAGACTTCAACAAAATTCACACAACCCACTTCCATACTGAACCTGCTTCTATTTCTTCTTTATCTATCCAAAATAAGAAAAGATACTGAAACACCGCCATCTGATTTCAACTTGTGAAAATGACATGATCATCTTTTTCACTGTAACTCCTGGTCCAGACAGGTATTTTGAGGAAGCCATATATAATAAGACTTACATCTTTCTTGATAGACTATAGTCCAGATAGACTGCTGGGTTTTTTTTTTTTGTGCGTGTGTGTGTGTTTGTTGGTGGTGGTGGTGGTTTTTTTTACTGTTTGAATGGAAGCAAACTTGATCTCTGAAACCTATTATTCATAAACATACACGCTGCTAATTGTCACAGCTCATTTGGTCTTACCGATACGTTTTAACAACGTAACCACGGCAGTGCTTGTTTCAGGCCTCATTTCCAGGCAGAAGTCCTTGTCTGCCACGAAGCCGCTGACGTTCTCCAGCAGCGCACCCAAGCGTTGTGCACTGAAGTGCTGCACGTTCTCAAGGGCCACCAACAGCGAGGTCTTTGTGGAGCACCCTGCTATGTTCTCCATGGAGCACGACTTCTCCCGCGGCTCAGTATTGGGATCAAAACTCTCCTTTGCCCTGCAGGTTTCCGCTGCTTCATCTGCAACAGAGGTTAAGTCACATATACTGGCACGTATTTCCTGGGATAAACATATTTTGCTTTCCAGTCTTTATTTTCTGCATGTTCATCTTGTCTCTAGCTCTCCAAGAAGAAAGAGAGAAAAGAAGAATCGCAAAAGACTGTTCTCTATAGACTACTGTGGTTTTATTAGCTTTTAATTCACTTGCATGAATCAACTGCTCCATGTCCAGTAAGACAGGTATGAAGAAGACAAAAATGAAAACTAGGTTGATGCAACAAAAAATATTAGAAGCAGTATCTGGACTTTTTTGTATTTAGCATTACTTTCAAGACGCCTCTCCAGCAAAAATTAAAAAGGTAAAAAATTTTAGAGAAGTGTATGCTAACTTTAAGCACATAATTTTAAAAGGAGGAAAAACTTACAAAACATAGCATTAAACAAGATTTCATATTGAAAGAAGAATATATGCGTGCAATCACTGAAGAACTTCCTGAATAACTGGTCTTTCTTGGGGACTGGCTATTTACACTAGTGCAGATGTATTTTGACATACTGTACAATTTTCTGGATTGCACTTCAAATCATAAACCTTACTAGAGTATTAGTGAAAGAAAATCTAACCACAAACATCAATGAATTAGGGAGATGCATCCCTGTTCTTCATAGAATCTACTCACTGTAGAGAATACAAAGACACTCAGTTTAGGATTAAAAATTTCAGAACCTGTGTCTATATGTGTATCTCATTTTAAAGTAGATATCCAGAGTAAGGGAAACAAATCCCTCTCTGGAGACATTCCTCTGCTATAATAGATACGTCAGAAGCTAGAAGCAGGTTTTTGGTCTAAGGCAAGATGAACTCCATCCTCGGTGATCATATCTAAAGCATTGGTGACCGATTATCGGTCACTTTCCATGTAACATCTAAGTGGGGTTGTGAAACCCACAGAGAAATTTTCAGTACAACTCCCTACAGAATTGGAGAGTGCTGCAGAAAAAGAGCACTGACACTTTCTTTTTCTCGAAAAATTGTTCTGGTCTCTTATACAAAGATATACAAAAGATCTGGTGTTCTTTTCCAACCAGAACAATTCTACAATTCTACGATCTTGTTTCTGAAGTTTGCTCACAGCATTGAGAGCCTATAATAAAATTAAAGCAAAACATCCACGAATGATTTGACGCTCTCAACCATATTTAAAAGCTATGGTTAGGATTACATTTTCTATTCTTGGTGGGAACTAGTTTTTCGTCAGATGTTTCCTCTTCAGTGGCTGTTTCAAGCTCTGTGACGATCAGGTTCAACTTCCCCTTTTCTCCCAAGTCCAGCTCATGAATCTGTCTCTGAAGAACTCGCTGCCTCACTGAATAAAAACAGAAAATAGTGACAGTATTCAGTGACAGACTGGATAGAAACACTAGTTTTAAACTGCTAAGCATTTTCCTACCTTTACATTAGGGCACACGCACTATACCAGGAAATAAAAGAGCTGTAAACTCATGACACCTCGTGCCAGGGGCAAAGGTTTCCACCTGGGAAGGTGGAAGAGAGGCCGCCTTGCGGGCCCTCTTCCAACCAGCGCCTCAGCAGAGATCCAGGCAGTGGGGAAATATAAACAAATGTAAGTACGTACAAGATAGATATATGTATATAAAATACATCTACACGCAAATACACTATGAACAAACTTCGTCTAAATGTTACATACATATAATTTAGAGAGTATATAGCTTCACAAAACCACCACAGCCGAATGCTTTCCATCTTTCTTCAAGTTAAAGCATAACTTTGACATGTGATATAATACATACAATACTCAGTATGTAACATACACTCCAGCACTCCTATACTAACCTACATTCTAGCGTGTTCTATTGAAGTACAAATCAGAGACAACTACTGCATATTGAAATTAGCATGTGTTAATGTACAACATACATCAACTTATGTTCTGGTAAGTTTTCTCTCTCAAAATTCAACCTTCGGAATAGGATGGAGCATCAAAATTATACTCCTATATGTCATTTAATAGTCAATACACATTAGATGATACACTATATACACTACATAGTTTTATCTTTCAAAAGTCAATCTAAAGAATAGAGTGGAGCTTTGCAATTAAGTGCAGATGTGTATGTAAGTTAACATATACCCTACACCTATTATATATTACTAAATCACTACATTTCAGCCTACACAAGCTAACACGAGCAGATTAAGCGGCAGGTTCGGGTCTAACACACGAGCTACAGCTGATGCCCCTGGGGCGCCCGGCGCTCACCGTCACGGCGGGCGAAGCAGACGAGGAGGCTCCCGGGCGCCGGCCCCGCTCGCAGCTCGCACTCGCCGCCGCCCGAGCGCTTCTGGCTCTGGAAGTAGCAGAGCAGCTTCCTGCGCAGCGAGCTCGGCGGCTCGGCCGAGCCCCAGGCGCCGCGCACCAGCAGCGGGAAGGGGCCCGCGGGCTCGGCCCGGCGCTCGCGCACAGCCCCCGAGCAGGGGGTCGGCGCCCCGCGCCCTTTCCTAAGCAGGGAGCGGGCGCCTGAGCATCGCGGCTCAGAGAGAGGACGCAGCTCCTCGGAGAGGGGTGGTTAATCCCGCTCTGGAAGTTCAGACGGATCCTCTGAGCTGTGGTGAAACGGGCAGGTCGTGAAGGCAGGGGACTGAACTCGCACCTGGCCCACTGGGGAAACCAGTCCACATGAGCTCTCCCCAGGGATCCCTACTAAGCTTAGTCATTTTAGATTCTTGACCTGACTTTCAAGCACAGGGAAATTAGTCAGCATTTCTCAGCATTGGCTATAAAACTGGCTTCCTCCAGCAAATGCACGGAGGCAGGGAGCGGTGGGGTGGGGTAGGAGCTGCCCGCCTCCATTTACGGTTCTCTGAAAAGAGCACCTGATTTCTACCTCTGGGAAATAAAATACAACCTTTGTGCCTGCTTACATAGCACGGATTACAGCTTAGGGACGCGTGCAAGGCAGAGCCCTGCCCTGGCACAGGTAGGTGAATGACCAACCCGAGAGCACCGCTACAGTTAAAAACCTATTTCCCCCCAAGGGCTTCTGCCATTAATATTTAAAAGAACAAAAGGAAAAACTTCACCACCCTGTCCCCCCACTGTCCAGGATCCACATTTCCGTATTTAGAGCCTTCTGCTTTAAAATCCTGTACTGTTTTAGGAAGGAGTCTTTTCCATCTAAGAGAACTGCTGCACTTACAAGTCCAGTAGCAGTGCAGACACTCCACCCCTCTGCACCGTCCTCTGCAATTCAGCAAACGGCTCTACTTCTCTGAACACACTGGCTGCAAATGTGAATTCTGCTAGCACTGTTTATCATTTGCCTTATTCTTTTTAGCCAGATATAAAAATGGATCTGTTCAATCTGCAAAAAAAATAAAAGGTGATAATGATTGATAATAAAGCCCTGAAAACATTGCAGAAAAGCTGTTTTGCTTCCAGAATCCCTGCTGGATTTCTTTAGAGGGCCTGCAAGGGCTGTAGCAAACCATGTTAGTGGAAAGCCAATATACCAGCCTAACTAGATGTATCTAAACCCAACATTATTTACTTTGCTGATTTCCTCCCAACTCCCCAAACAAAAAGATAGTGCAAAACCAATAGAGTCACAGTGATGCCAAAGGTTTTTAGAAGCTGGAGGTGCTGCAAAATCCTGCTTCTTCAGTGGAAGGTGCTATGACACACAATACACCCCAAAAAGGTGTATTTGTATATTCTCATGAACACATTGCACAACTGATTATGTTGCTTTGCCTCCTCTACAAAGAAAAGTGCTGAACTTCAGCTTGAATAAAGAATATCCTGCTTTGGGGTGCCTGTTCATTCAAGCCCCAAAGAGGCTTTTTTTTTTTTAAAAAAAAAAAAAAAAAAAAACAAAAAAACAACCCTTTGGGCCTTTTTCACTTCCTCTAAGGGGCACTTGAAACCCAGCGCTAAGTAAGCGTCTAAACAAGGAGAAAGGCTGCATTTCCACTGCAGTTCATTCAGCTTTATTGAAAACACTTTAAATGCCTTTTTTTAAAAAAAACAAAACATTAACAATGATACAGAGAGAGTGAGACACTACTAACAGCACAATATATTGAACTGGAGCTAACAGCAGACACTCGTGACCCCATCAGCACTGCTCACTTTTTATTGCAACCAGGAAACCAGGACAGCTGTGCACTGCAAAGAAAGGCATGCCAGGAAAGTTCCAGCATCCTAACATGCATCCAACATGTAACACAAGGGCAACTGTCAGTAGAAAACAGCACTCAATGTTAAGTGTTTTCCCCTCAGTGCAGCAAAAAATATTTAAGGAGTCATTTTCAGTACTATTAAAAGCTTCCTTGGGTTGTTTAAATGTAAAAAGCTTTAAGAAATCAATGTGATAAAAGTAGTATTTGCTTTCACTGCATTTTTTTTTGTTACAAGAATTATTTTGTAAAATAAAGACTAAAAGGCATGCAATCTTAGCTGCAATTAAGACTGATTATCTAGTGAAAGTGATAAGGTATTCTGGGTAAGCTTGAATGTCATTAAATATTACAAACATGGTTGGTTGCTTCACATTATCAGTTGAACTATCAAACAGATCTATAGAGTTATTGGGATTTTTTGGTGACGGCGTAATAGCTCCATGTGTCCCCAGAGAATACTCTCCAACAAGGACTCGGGCGAGGTACATGTACTTCTTCCCCCCTGCATCTGGTTTAGAGTAGGTGTCATTTGAAGAATATTTGGCATTTACAGCAAAGTAAGTTCCATTTCCATAGATCACACCTGTGGTCAGAAAAAACAAACAAACAAACAACAACAACAACAACAACAACAACAAACAACCACCACCACCAGACATTTGTGAGTTATAAGCAACAACCATTTACTTGTCACAGGATTCACAGGCTTTTAAACCAGCAATTTTGCCTTTTTTTTTTTTCAATAACTAAGTTTAGCAGAACAAATCATTTTGCATGCAAGCTAAAAATACACAGGCCGCATGGCAATTGCTCCTAGTCACATTCAGCAAAACAAGGTGCTCTGAAATTCACCTTACCATTTGCTCCAGCATAGCTCCGGTTAAATCCATGGTTGTTAATTAAGGTTACTGAGTCTATACTTGTTCCATGAAACAGTTGCCTCTCATTATTTCTGTTACCATTTTTCTTATCCATTTCAAGCTTTTTTATTTGGTAGGCCTTCCAAAAATATGGGTTCTGTATCCTTTCAATCTACAAAATTTGGAAGTAGGCCACATTATTGACTGATGGTTTTAATAAGAGAGAGCTTAAAAAACAAACAAAAAACACTGCCCAGATGCTCTTCCTAGCTATAATGACTGCATACAAGATTTAGAAAGTCAATGAAATCACTCAGTACTTTTGCATGACAGAAGGAAAAAAACTAAAATCTTAAATGTTAAATAACACCATTGCTATCTGCTTTACTTAGGCCTTAGTTTTTTGGTGAACATCCTACATAAACTCTCATGTAGGACTTGCCTATTGGGCAGCTGATGCCTACTACAGATGAGACAGGTCTGCAGTCTGCTGTCATGTCAAAAGTAACTACTGCTTAAAACCACTAGATAACTAGAAACTAGATAACTTCAGAACCAGATCCATATTTTCAAGACAGCTCCACTCAGAGTATTAATATTAATTCTTTGGGTGATTAATATGCTAGCAAGGAGTCTGGCGTACGTTTGCAACACAGATACAAGAACAGAAAGAACATTTACATAGACAATTAGAAAAGATAAAAGATAGCCTTCACTGGCAAGTTGTTTTTCATTCATTTCTGGATATGAAATCCCCTCCAATTACTGAATTTTAATTTCTGAATAAGCAGAAAATGAGAATTCATAGTAGATGCAGGAAAAGAAACACTGTGACAGGCAGTTCCATTAAAATTGCCCTACTTAGCACTCTTAGCTTCGTAAAACTTGGTCCCAGAAGCAGATTCTTAAGAGCTGGGTGAGGGGCTGACTTTACTACAGGTTGAAAAGGCAATAACCTCACATATAGTAACACCTGTAGGGCTATTAAAGATTCTTCTTCTTTAGATCATTATTAAAAGGAGATCCCTATGATCCAAATAAAAATTGTGCAAGAGTGCAGATCAAAACTGTGGCCATTTCTTTTTCCATAAGGACTCATTCATCTTCAGAAATCTCATCTGACTTAGTCATTCTTCATTAGTCATTATCAATGTACATATGCTCATGTTACAATGTTTTTACCTTTTCGATTTTGAATGACAAACAGGTCTGCTGGAACCTTGCCTGCACATCCTTGTATTCTTTCATTTCTGGTTTTAGCTCCACTATTTTGACTTGCTCTGTTTGCATGTCATCCCATGTTGCAGGGAGCAATATTGACTCTTGATCTGTAAGGGAAACCGCATCGATTATTTACCAAAATCCTCTGCTTAAAGTGATACTTGCCCTGCCGTTTGAAGGTCTGTACACCTATTTATTGTCAAGCTTATCACTTGTGTCTGATGGTCTTTGGCAGCCAAGAACATTCCATGGATCTTTTACTAGAAGACTGGGGTACCTAACTTGCAGCTTTCCACTGCATTGGCAATTAATAGGTGTGAACTGGTAATACCCAGGAAAATTTGTTTTTCACAGTACCAAGGCAGATTCTAACATCTTTTAACAGTAACTTTCTCCTCAGATTGGGTTTTCAAAGACATGGGACAATTACAGAAATACTGAGATGTAGAAGGATTTGAGAAAGAGACCATCATATGTTTTTTGTCATCTTCTGTCCACAGTAAGGAGAGAGATGTGTACCGTTAATTCTCCCAAATAGAAGGACATGGAATAAAGTATCCAAATAAAGGAGACTAACTTAACTCCTCTGTTTCAAAAAATATACTCTCATACAGAAAAGCAGAAGTCTTCTGTTTTCTCATTTCATGAAAGAGGAGTATCTAGCTGTTATGTCAAACACATTGACTGGTGCACATGCTAAAGATATCTGGCATGTTCAGTTCCCTCACTTAGGCAGATGAAACCTTTTTGATAAATGACAGCTTTTGACAAGAGAAAAAAAATGTGGAAAGCATAAGCAAGGCACATTACTAATGGGCTAGGAGTTGCACACTTCCTTAGATGTGTTAACTTCAAGTGTTATTGAAGAAAAAACGTTCCCACTTAGATATAAAATGATCTCCACAAAACTAAGCCACAGTGTGACGTGGAACAGTAATACTTATACATACAAGACCTTCCTCTACAAGAAAAAGGTAGTTGCTTAAACTGTAAAGGACTGTAAAGAAGTAGATTGATGAAAGAGGCTACATCTCAAAACCCAAATGAGCTGCCTTGAAGCTGAAATGACAGCCCTTACAAATACAACATATAATTATTGCTGGTAAGTCTGTTCAAAACTTCACAAGACATTATCTACCTATTTCTTATTGCAATTTCAAGTAATTTCATAATTCTCCCCTGTCTTTGTTTCTTACTGTAGTTCCTTTGTACGTTCTCTGGAAATAGACCTGTACAAAGTTCCTCACAATACTTGGCATATTTGCACTATTTCTTACTTACTCCAGTCACAATGCAACCTATTTTTACCTGGCGATGTCTACCTATCAAGATGCTTTTACCTACCTTTAGATTTATCAACACGTGTGATGGCTGTCTTTCTTCCTTGATCATCTATAGCATGCTTGGCTTCTATGTCCACTCTGTAATTCTTATTATTAATGGAGACCGAAATATATTTCTGCTTTCCTAAGAAAGCATTTTCTAAACGCAAATTTGTCAGATTGTCCAAGGACACAAAAGAATCATTTTCCCAGTATTTCCACTCAACTGCACTTTTTAGGAATTCTGCCTTGATTTTTTCATCTTTAGCAGCTTCAACCCTGTGAATCATATTTAGAATTTTTGAATAAGCAATCCATACATCTTTGGCAACACCTGAAATTTTAATAAAGTTATTTTCCAAATGAAGAATAATATTTAATTGCTTCTGTATGTCATACAGTTCTTCATTTTCCCTTTCACCAAAACTCTGGATAGAGTCATTTGTGATTACTTCCTCATGCTGGTCCTTTGAAATTGCTTTTTTAATCCAGGTTTCAGCTTCTTCCACCTGTTTTTGGTTTTTACCACAAATCTGAACAACAGCCACTTCAATTTTCCTTTCCAAAACTGCTTTGCTTTTTTTCTTTGAGGTACATTTCTCTGAGCTCCAGCGTGCTATATAGAAATACAAAAGCTAGAATTAGTATCACCTGATAATGGTTAATATTGAATATCTAATATTAATCTTAATAATATTAACCTGTATTTAGAAATGGTATCTTACAGAATATCCTGGAAATAACTGATTTGAATGGAGTTTCTTTACCAGAACTTTCTATTTTGAGCATGCTTGTATGGAACACACTTAGCAGATGTGGCTGAAAGATGACAACTTTCACTGTTTTCACAGACTGAACAGAATTATTTCTTGCAAAGGCAGTTATTGCATCCATCATTTCATCAGCTGCTGTGGTCGGATCACGGCCTGCTTCACCTGAAAGAAATTATAAACATTTTGCATTTTTAAAGAGTTAACAGCTTCTACAATGGGCTAAAACATCAATACAAGAACAGCTTTGATCCTGTCCACAACCACTTTAATCATGAATCAGTCACAAATAACCTTACACTGGCTAGTTAGGAAAGGGGTGAAAAAAAGAGGCTCAAGACCAGCTTTATGGCAGGAAAGAAAAAGTTTACTCTGATAACTCGATCAAGTGCCAGGTTAACAAGTAGAAGGCTTGGTTGCCCAATAGGCCAGAGGACTTGCACTCAAAACCTTAGTAGCCAACCTTTTGCTTCAGAAGCAAGTCTAGTTTTATTCATGCAAGAGATCCCTGCACACATTTGGGATTACTTAGCTAGGGATTTTTACTGAACTATGAGAAAATAACAAGTGAACAAAACCATACAATCTGGCCATTTTGACAGGTTCACATTCCATCCATATCAACTTTATTGTGCTCCTTCTAAAAAGATTTGCATCATCTACTGATCTGAGCAACAGAGAGGCAGCTCCCTGGAAATTCTCCAATGAGCTGTCGAGACCAACACTTACGGTTCTCTACAAGGCACAGACATACGGATCCCTGATATTAGAGAAAACAACTCTGAAGTGCTTCATTTACTCCCTACGCTGGCTGACAGCATGGAGTAAAGTTTTTCAAGTCTTCTATAAGATTCTAACTTTTGGAGAGACTACATTTTTTACATAACTTTTCACCAAAGAGCAAACTTTACCAGATAAATCAAACTGTTTGCTTGAGCCCTGATTTTACCAGACTCACATGCAGTGAAACCTATTCAAAAATAGACACAAACCTGTTCCAATTGCTGGGAAGATGACAGAGGCATATTGCCGTAATTCACACTCCTGAAGCACTTTGGAGACGGGTACCTTGATATCATCATGGGCAACAAAATGAATTATTCTTTTGCATGGCAGACATCCTGCTTGAGTGGTTATAAAGTCATTATTAGGCTGCAAAGCTGAAAAAAAACATAGGAGGAAGCATACAATCAACAATTATCCACAGTGCAAACTTGTGCTAATCCTTGGTGAGGTAAGAGAATAATGACAACAATGCCCCAGGACAAGCTATGAGGCTCTTTCCATATGAATGCTTCTCCAATTTTACTTTCTTAGCCCCGGGATTCAATTTATGCTTGCTATTTATTTGCCTTCACTCCTAAGTTTTCTAGGTCTGCAGAGTAAAATCTCACAGATCAATGTTGCAGTCAGTATTCACACAAACGAACATGCCATATAACCCCATACTGACTAGTCTGAATTGTCCTCTTGGCCTGGCACAATTCAGGTCAACCTTTCACACCTCTTTCACGTTACTTTTTTTTTTTTTTCCCCCCCCTTTGGTTGATATTCTGATCTGACCTCCATACTAGCCTCTTTCCATCTTCCCGTGATTTTGTAGGCTTTTAAGTCACATTATTTTTCCATTTTGAATCACCATTCATTGCATTTGCTGGTCATTAACTGAATTTGGTCTACAAATAAATGCCTCTTCTGGGCAACCAACTACTCTAGTTTTCCTCTTGATCATGCAAAGAAAGTGGTAAAGTGTCACTGGTTAGGCCAAGAGGAAATATTATTAAATATAACAAGAAAACAAGTTCCAGATAGACAGTTGCTTTAAATGAGGTATGCTATTCTATCAACATTTCTGCCAACACCATTCCCTGCTCATAGCTCTGTTTGAGACAGACTTGTTTTGTTTTTAGCATCAAAAGTTTTAATGGAATAAACAATGAGTAGATCAAGCTTTTTGTTTACAGGCTGTCTCTTCTTGATTTTTTTTTCTTTTCCTTCCTTCCCCCATTACAGGTTTTACAAATATGTTAACCAGTTAAAGAATTAGCTGATATAGCACAGTGCATAAAACAGCTGGATGTACAGTAGGCACTTAGGGGACCCAACAGCTATATGAACACTTTTAGGGAGGAGATCAGAAATGCTGCACCATACCTAATTTGGCACACTCATCTTGAACAGCTTGTCCAGCGCCTTCCAGAATCGCTTTAGAAACACCTGAGCAAGAAGAGACATATGACTTCACTGTTACTCATGTTAATGCTATTAAAGCCCCATCTAAGACACAACATGGTACCACATATCACCTACACGTCTCTAATTTCTGACAACAGCACGTTATAACTGAAAAACATTGTTGCCTAAGAGTTCATGTTACATTTTTTCAACTCAGATTGATGTCTGAGGTACCTAACAAGTTTCGCTGAGATCCTCACTGAGGTTTGTCTTTTTCTTTAGCCTGAAAAAAGATGCTCTATAAAAAGATTCTATTAAAACAACATCAACAAAAAATACTTTTGCTTTCCCAGGGGAATCTTAAACATGACATCCTACAACACAGACTAAATAGTTTGAGATTTCAGAATACACTGAAGATTTTTTTCATTTTCTTACACTGGAAGAGAAGGCAAGAGACAGTCTCAGATGTTTCCTAGGGCTTTCATACATTAAGAAATAAAATATGAGCTACATTATAAAACAAAATGTTTTAGAACACTAAAAAATGATCCATTTTCTCCTTATCCAGCCCTTCCAACCACATGTTCTGTTTTCATCTATAATATCAACTAAAGTACCTTTTCTGAGGTTAAAGGTTTTATTTGTTATGTTTACAATGACATCTGATTTTTCCTTGGTAATATCTCCGATTGCCACCTGGAATACGATGGAGCCAATCGTCATTTCATGCATATCCTGTGCCGGGGTTGAAACAGGGCCAAAGAATGCTGCAGGAAAGAGACACATAGAGGAGTAAGAGAGCACAGAACTTCCTTGGGCTGAAGGACCGGTTCATGAGTATGATGTCTATGGAGATGACAGTCTGGCCCTAGGCTCAGCCATTCTCATCCCCATGAAGACAAAATCTGATCATCATTTCATTTCATTAGAGTCTCTGATCAGCCTTCACCGATTCCCATCACTGCTCCCCACAATGAGATGGCAGGGAAACCGTATTTTGCTGCACACCTGGTATAGAGATGCTTTTGTGCAACATCTTATCCTATAAGACTTGGCTAAACTTAGAGGTAGGAGAGAGGCAAACTTGCCAAGTCTCTCTCTCTTGCTCCCCTGTCTCTCTGTAGTTCTTAAATAGATTCTCTACTACATGAAAGGAACTTCTCGCCTATATGTTTTCACCATATAACTGATTTTCTACACTCTGTAGTTCTTTTAGACTAAATAATAACCAGAGATAATAACAATACTAAAACCAAAGCTGAAATAAACAGGCAAAAAGACTTGAGGGTATTCCAAAGAGGGACCCCTGAAGACACATAAAAGCGTATTTTCATCTGCATTCCCAGGAGACAAGAAATCGAACCATTTAGGATGCGATCAAGTATTACAGCGATAACAGGATCATCACTGCACACTCAACCAAAAAGCCCCAAAACTGCACTTGTACCTTCAACCACACTATAGCTTCGAGGAGCTATAGCTCTGGAAGTGCTTTAACCAGAAGATGAATCCCATACTGAATGAATTCTTGGTGCAGGCCTTCATCCCTGCACCAGCATTTCAAATATTACACACTTTTCCTGCAACTACTACTCACTTCTGTCTTTGTGACAAACACTTCAACTCCATCATTAACAGTTCTTACTTGGACTTCAGGCATGACATGCTCACCAAATGCTTATCTAAACACCTACAATGAACACATTTCCTGTAGCACTTATAGATAGATTTGAAATATATAAATAGAATACTTTTTAAAAACAAGCTTACTTGTGCTTTGGCTAGCCTCATCTGGGGCAGTCTCATGCACTTCATCTATAGTATTTTCACATCTCTGCTGCAGTTCATCTGAAAATGCCTGGAAAGGGAAACTACAGTCATTTCCTATAGAAAAGTCTTTATTCGATCATTGGAAAAATAAAGTTAGGAAGTATTTACAAGAAACATAATGCAAATGACTTAATAACCATCTGCCACAGTGTTGATAGGAAGTCTTGACACACTAGTTCTCAGAAATTGATAAAACTGGAAAATAAGTCAAAGCCCTAATTACCATTCCAGAAGGATGCATGAACTGAGAGCACCTTTACTTTTAGGGGCTAATTCACACTAACTCAAGTCTACATTTGTTAGCTGCATCTCTGTGCTGTAGCTCCAGCTCTATCACAACAGCAAGCGAGTTTGGCCTTTCAAAAAGTATTAGCTATTACATAAAACAGCAGAACACATCAGATATTGAAACATTTACTGGGTATTTCAGTGGGGCTGCTTTCTTTTAAGAGATTCCACTGTGAAATAAGAAACTTGAGTGTGGATGTAGAAAAGCTGGGTCACTGACAGTGAGAAAAGTGGGATGCAGAATCATGTAGAATCCATTTCTGGACACTTCAATTCTTGAGACATTTACTAGCACAAGAATCCAAAGAACCTGCCAAATGTGCTCCTTTTTCCAAGAATGAAGGCAGCTATGCAGGAGTTGTAGTAAATTTATCTGTAGGCAAGGACTGTGCAATAGTCATACAAGCGCATGAAATGAAAATACAATTACTCTGCTATTTGTATAATTCCCAGGGAATAAAACAGAACAGGAAGGAAGACAGCTACTCAAGATAGGCAGAACCCAGAGGAGAATTTTCACTATAGACAACAGAGACTGTCTTTAGTAGGAGAATGAACACACTATGGATTCTTTTGAGGTCATCAGATAGCTAAGGACCATTTGATGGACCCAAGCAGGAAAAACTCACCTGCAAATTAGATGTATCTTCTGGATATAGTAAGAAGTGAACTTCTTCAAGCGAATTTACTCTCTTTTTATGGCTGAATTCAAACACTTTGTCAAACAGCAATTTGGCAACAACGGGCTTCGGAAATCCTAAATTCCCTGTCCCAATTGCTGGGAAAGTAATTGACTTTAAAGACAACTCCTCGGCAATCGTCAGGCATTCTGTGATGATATTTCCAAGGACCTGAAAAGCATAGTTATTACCAAAGTATCTTCTTTTTTTTCTTTTGGTTAGTATGTGAAATTCAGCATTTTTAATACCAAAAGATAGCTAAAAGAAAAGTATGATGGTTACATACATCACCAAGTATATATCAGTCAACATGGGAGCAGTCACACATAAAAGAAAAGCCCAAACTCATCTCCTGTGAAGTCATTTCAAAGGAGAAGTTGCATTAAACTCACTGCAAGATGCAACCAAATTAGAGTTTAAAACTCCTTTTACCTTGTTTTCAGATGAACGTCCTTGTGACCACCTAGGCAAAATGACATGAAGCACATAATGGCAACCTAGGCCATATCCTTCTGTTTTCAACACGGATCCTTCACTGGGTGTGTTTTCTAAGCCTTCTTCCTTTAAGGCTGTCTGAAGCATTGGCCCAGCCTTGCTTAGCAAGGTTTTGGAGAGCGGCCCTTTATTAAGCTCTAGATCTTGAGCAACACTGTTGACAATAATGTCTGTCTGAAAAGCAGAGGAGAAAAACAGCCAAAAGCTCCAGTCAGTACAAATTTGAGGCTTAAAAGCTATCCAAATGCAGCCTGTCTGCTAACTTACAACATGAATTTTGGAGATAAGCTTGAAAACCAAGTTCTGTGTCTAAATCTACCAGCTCCCAGCAAAACAGAGGTGACAGGGCAAAACTTCTGCTCAACTCTTTGCCCAGTTTGCCCTGCAGTCTCAACAAAAGCAAGCAAGAACTTCGGTATGCAATTGGACAAGAAAAAAAAAGATAGAAAAATAAATTTAAAAGTTGTAGAAGAACAGAATTGGAGGAAGAAGAAAGGGGAAAGAGAAGTGAGAAAAGTAGCAATTTAGAAAAGAGAAAAACACGAAGAATATTGAAGCAAGCAATCTTCACCTCTTGAGGAAACACCTCTCTGTATCGTATTTTTTAATGTATTCGTTCTGCCTCAGCCAGTTGGAGAAGCTCTCTCTCTATATAAGCTGTGGGATATGACCCTTCCTGAAGGCATCAGCTGGCCATTGTGTAAGGATTCTGAGAGGAGTTGCTTCCAGTAGCAGCGATCCCAGCTAAGTCACTTTCAGGCCAGCTAACAGGAATTTAATGCTGAAGGCAGCTGGAAATTGGTAAAGTTGGTGCCAGCAGGGTATGAGACAGCAACTGTACACTGCTTTCCAATGATCAACAGTAATGCTAGGAACAGCATTTCCCCAGTAAAACATTGGGGCAAAAGGAGGATCCCCATTTGCACAGGATCACTCAGAAGAATAAGATCAACTGATGCATCAAAGTCAATGCCTTGATGTTTGAGAGCATCAAAAGCCATCTGCGAGGAAACAAGCATTCACCTCAAAAGCTAGGACAAGTCTACAGGCGTCCCCTGCCCATCAGGGCACAAGGTTACTCTGACTCCAGGCAAAGGGCTCAGCAGCACCAGCACGTAATCAGATGGGTGGCTGTGCTGCCCTAGGCTCCCTGGGGAGCTGGAAGTGGCATCACTTCCACCTGGAAGGCCACTCACATGAGCTGGCACTCGGTACCCTCTTTTGCTTTGGTGCACATACCATCTCTTTCTAACCACAATCCTATGGTCAGGGTTTCAGGAAGGTCACTACCACATGTGAGTGGTTCCTGCCCAGCAATCTACAGAGCAAGGTTTGTAGCCCGGAACGACTTCTCTTGAAAAATCAGTTGTTTCTGCAAACTGGCACACCAGGCACCGGGATCCATTTGTCCCTCCATAGGTAGCTATGTAGCACTGCCTTGTGTCATCTACAATGTAATAATTGTTTTTGAACAGCAACTGTTATCAGCCATGACTGCCAATTCCAGTAACATAGCATATTGCATTGCTTACTACAGATGATGATCTAAGTTCCTTTTTCACATCGTCCATACTGTAAAAATGAGTTTTATGTCAAACTAGACAAACAGTTGATAATTTAAAACACTTACTGTAGCATCTGCAATGCTTCCTTTTTTCAGCAGAATGTCAAGGCCTTCTTCCGTTGTCACCATCATGAGGCTGTCGCTGTTTCGAGAACTTTGGCTTTTCCTAGGCTTCTTGGTCTGACTGACAGAACCCTGGGGATGTAAATTACCTGGAAACACTTCTTTTAGTGCCTCGCTGAAAGCCTCAATATTTTTCTCTTCAACATCCACAAGATGAACTTCCCTCAAGCTATTGCTCCCCACGGATTCTTCCAAAGTTTCCTTGATGGATGATACAACTGAATATGTATACAATTGCACTGGAAAGCCAAAAATCCCAGCACTTATAGAAGGGAGAGCTATGGAGCGCTGATTATAGGTTTCAGCCAACTGTAGGCAATTCTTCACTGTCTTTCTTAACAACACCACACATTTTTGTGCTTCCTCTTTCCTCCAGCTTGGCCAAACAGCATGAATCACATGTTTGCAGGGGAGCTTCCCAGCTCCTGTGATAACAGCACATCCAGGCTGCAAACAGCCCTGCTTTGTCAGCTTGTCACACTCTT